TGGTGGTACGCGGGCCTCTCACTGTTGTGGCCTCTCCCGTTGCGGAGCACAGGCTCCGGACGCGCAGGCCCAGCGGCCATGGCTCATGGGCCCAGCCGCTCCGCGGCACATGGGATCTTCCCGGAACAGGTCACGAACCCGCATCCCCTGTATCGGTAGGCGGACTCTCAACCACTGTGCCACCAGGGAAGCCCAAAATGACTGACTTTTTAAACATTTCAGGCCAGCTAAATCCCATGGCTCCTTTTCCCTCGCTACAGATCATCAGACTCACATCCTCATTCAGATGGTCAGCCAGTGAATGGTCCAGCAGCAGAAGCCTGTGAAAGAGGCCCAGGCCCGATGGGGCTGGCCCATGGGGTGGTGCTGGGGCCTCGGTCTCCTCCAGGTCACCCCACCCAGAGGGGTGCAGAGGCAGCCCTGCCCAGACGTCCACACTCAGCTCGGGGTCCTGGGGCCTAGAGTGGATGGATAGCAAAGTCAGACTTACTCATGTTCTCTCAGAAAGGGGCCGTGAAAGGATGTAACGAATCAGGTTCTGAAAAATCTGTAATTCCAATAATCTGATTTTAGGAAGCCAGAGCTAGGCAACCGGAGGAGACTGATCCAAGTACTGAGAAGAGCTGGGGTGTGACATTTTGGGGTGGGGAGAGGGGTTAGTACCTGTGCGTGAAATTGTCTCCAGCTGCGGGTGTAGCCCGACCAGCTGGAGGCCCGTGGTGTCCCAGGCGGAGGGCCTGAACTCGGCCTAGCCCCAGGCTGTGGAGAAGCCTCGCTAGGCCCCCTGCAGTCAGCGTCCCATTCTCCCCATACAGGCCAAACAGCTGGGCCAGGTAATGGTTCTGCTCCTGCTCAGCAGGGCCCAGGTAGGGGGCTGAGGCCCCTACCCAGCCCAAGGCCACCCACACACACAGGCCAGCCAGCAGATGACTCACTGGGGGCCCCATTATCGGGGGGACAGGGTTAGAGGCTCTGGTTCCGGCTTCTACTCCTCCAGGAACATCCTGAGGACCGTGCCCTGGAAGAACAAGGAGGAGGGGCTGGGGCTCCTGCCCTGCTGTCCAGCCCAGGGCCCGGGGAGCCCGCACCCCTCACACCACCCCCTCCTCGAATGCTGCAGCGGCAGCCTCCTTCCTTCCTCCCCATTGCCTCCTTCTGGGCAGCCTCTTGCTTCCCAGTTCCTAGAGCACCTTCCCAGAGCCAGAACACTCCCCTCACCTGATCCAGAGCTGACCTGTCCCTGTCCCTCCCCTATCCCCCAGACCCCACCCCTCAACCTCACCCCACCTCTCTATCCCCCCCTCAATCCCCAGGGCCTCACCCCCACTGGCAGTGTGAGAGCCGTCACCTCAGGTCCTCATGAGGCCTCGCTGTGGACACTTAGAGGTTCCTGGGTCGTGGAGGGGAGCCAGGCTCAGCCTCCAGCTGCCCAGGTAGATCAGAGGCCATGTCAGATAGAGGGCTGGGATGGACAAGCTCCCGCTCCTAGCCCACCTGCCTGGGGGGCGGGGCCAGGGAGGTGCCAGTGTGGGAAGGCTTACATCAGAGAGGAGTTAATGGTTCACTGGTCTCTGGGGTGGGGGGTCAAAGGTCAGTCTTGGCTGGGCCCCTGAGTAGGGAGGGGCCACCCTCTGCCCCTGGAAAAGCCACATGGCCAAGGAGAACCAGGGCCTGGGCTTTTCTTCTAAATAATTTACATCCCAACCCAGGTGGTACCGTCTTAGCCTCTCCCTGCCTATACTCCCACCTCACCTACCTTACATATGTCATCAGGCTTCATTCATCTCCAACCCCCATCCCCACATTCCCTGGGAAGGTTGGACCCAGGTGTCCCTAATCTGGAGAGGAGGGTAAAGAGGCAGATAAGTGGCAACCCCAGATGCGTGGGGAAGAAATTGTTTTTAGCACTTCTTCATCCCCGAAGAGTAAGAGCCAGAACTCTGTGAATCTATGACCACGAGAGGGGACGCTCTGGTGGGAAGAGGAAAGGAGTATCTGGGCCTCCTCAGATGTCTGACCTGGCTTAAGGTTGGGGAGCACAGTCTGACTGGGGTGACCGGTCCAGGGGGTCGAGGTCGGCATTACCTGACAGCAGGAAACAGGAAGGACGCCCAGAGGAAAGGGGACAGTCTTCTTGGTTCCAGCTGTGGGGGGTAGGCAGGCAGGAGGACAAGGGTCACCAGCACGGAGGGGGCAGGGGAGGGGCACTACCTTAAAGGGGCAGGCCTCCTTTGCCCAGGCCTTGCCTGTAACCTATCTCCCCTCCACATCCTAGGGACACCCCACTCTCCCAAATGCCCAGCTGCCGACCTCTTCATTTTCCCACAAAGAGCAAAGGAGTCCAGTACAGAGTGGTAACATTTATTAGGAAGGAGGGATTCAATTAAACTTCCACATCAAACACCCAAGGATTAGACTGTAACCATCGTTTCTAAAGAGGAAGGCAGGGAGGCAGAGGGCCCAGACTCCCAGGGGACAGGCCGCTTCAGCTGACAAGGAGGGGACTATGGGCTGAGGGTGGATAAGGCCACTGCTCACCACCCCTCCAGTGAAGTTTAGTGGCTAAAATACTCCTACACACCCCCTGCCCCCCAAAGCCAGCAGCCCAGTAGAAAGCTGTGTTCTCTAGCAGACACCTGAGTTGTGGCTGGTGGCAGGGAGGAACAATGTCTTGCTATCTCTTGCTGCTCCTCCGGGTTTCTTTGCCATTACTGACAGGGCTGCTGGAGGGGCCAGGAGGGCCGGCAGGCGTGTGGTTGGGCTG